TTGTCAAAGGCTTTCTGAAAATCTAAGTATACTATATCTACTGGATCCCTCCTGTCTGCATGTTTGTTAACCCCTTCACAAAACTCTACTAGATCAGTAAGACATGATTTCCCTTTACAGAAACCATGTTGACTTTTGTCCAACATATTATGTTCTTCTACATGCTTCACAATTTTATTCTTTACTATTGTTTCGACTAATTTGCCTGGTACTGAAGTTAGACTTACCGGTCTGTAATTGCTAGGATCGCCTCTAGAGCCCTTTTTAAATATTGGTATCACGTTGGCTTCCTTCCAGTCATTAGGTACGGAAGCCGATTTAAAGGATAGGTTACAAACCAGATAATAGCTCAGTAATTTGCCATTTAAGTTCTTTTAGAACCCTTGGATGAATGCCATCCGGTCCTGGAGATTTGTTAACATTAAGTTTTTCAATTTGTTCCAAAACCTCCTCTAATGACACTTCAATCCGGGACAGTTCCTCCGATTCATCACCCAAAAAAGACGGTGCAGATTCGGGAATCTCCCCAACGTCCTCAGCCGTGAAGACTGAAGCAAAGAAATCATTTAGTTTCTCCGCAATTTCTTTGAGTTTTTGGCTAGCTGTTCCTCAAAATCTTTTTTTGCTTTTCTTATTACATTTTTACACTTGATTTGACAGTGTTTATGTTCCTTTCTATTTATCTCACTAGGATTGGACTTCCAATTCTTAAAAGATACCTTTTTGTCCCTCACTTTACACTTGATTTGACAGTGTTTCTGTTCCTTTCTATTTATCTCACTAGGATTGGACTTCCACTTCTTAAAAGATACCTTTTTGTCCCTCACTGCTTCTTTTACATGGTGGTTAAGCCACGGTGACTCTTTTTTAGGTCTCTTGCTATGTTTTTTAATTTGGGGTATACATTTAAGTTGGGCCTCTATTATGGTGTCTTTAAAAAGTTTCCATGCAGCTTTCAGGGATTTGGCTCTAGTCACTGTGCCTTTTAATTTCTGTTTAACTATCCTCCTCATTTTTGTGTAATTCCCCTTTTTGAAATTAAATGCCAGGGTGCTGGACTGCTGAGGTGTTCTTCCCACCACAGGAATGTTGAATGTTATTATATTATGGTCACTATTCCCAAGCGGTCCGGTAACAGTTATATCCCGGACCTGATCCTGCACTCCACTCAGGACTAAATCGAGAAAAGCTAAATGTACATAAATCCATGGGTCCGGACTTAATGCATCCGAGGGTACTGAGGGAGTTGGCAAATGTCACTGCCTGCAAATATCATTGAGGCGCCGTGGCAAAGGGGGGGCCCCGCAGAATTATGCTGCCCGGGGCCCTGCAAAACGGTCATCTGCCCCTGGGCCCAGCCGCTGTGCTCCATGCCCCCTGGCCACTGGCCCCAGCAGGGCTACGCTGCCAAGTCCAGCCCCAGCCACCAGTCTCTGCACGCTTGACAGGACTGCACTGTTAGTCCAGCTGCAATAGAACAAGATATTTCTGAAGGAATGCAGGAGTGATGAAGCTGCCTGGCTGGCTCTAGCCACCGGGCTGCCTGCACCTGGGCTGACAGACCACAGATGTTGCCGTACCAAAGAGGTTCAACCAGTATCATCAGAAATTTCAATTATTGTATCATATATATTTCCAAGCTAATACTGAATAGGCTTTGAGGCATCAATTTAACTCTCTCATTCTGTTTGACCCAATGATTTCAAAGTTAGAGAACACACCTGGACACAAAGAATTTCCTAACAGTGTATTGAACTTGAAAAAAAACACATATATGAATTGCACCAGATCAAAGAAACTATTAGCCTCCAAACAACATCTGGCAGCAACATTGACAACCAAGTTGGAACGTGTACTGCAAGGAACAAAAAACACCCGAGGATTCATTTGTATCACTCTCTTTTGTAAACCTTTGTCTTTACCCTTCATATTAATTCCTTTTTCATAGCTTTAGCCATGTAAGTTCTCAATAGATAATGGCAGTCCTCCAAGCTCTGATAGAATACATTCACTCATAAGGGTCCCAGTCGTCTCCTTCAATGGTATAATCCCCTCAAAAATGTTCCTTTGCGATCACTTCAGCGTTATACTCAAGTGCAGATTTTGATGCATCAACAAAACAAATGATCATTGTCATCTGCTCGATATGACTCACATCTGGTATACAGTTCATAACTATTGAAAAGTATTTTGCAGAATGGGCAGCTGCTAAAAATTTCTCTTTAATAGCATTTGTTAGGAGTTGAATCAGCTCATTATGAAGAGTTTTTCCAAGGAATTGAACATGAGTTTCATAGTCACTTATTTTATACAGCTGCTCCTTCATGACTGTATCAAACAAGAAGTTTCCATTACCTGCACTGTATGAATTTTCATATATCCTGCAGAATGCCAGGTTTTGCCCACTGAGAACTCTCACTAAAGCAACCACAAATTATAATAAATACACAATCTTAATCTTAAGTACTTGTGATTCTCCTTTTGCATTCTTGTTAAAACAGCTTACCAAATGTTTCAAGTACAACACATTACAAATTATTTGCAGGCACAGCATCTTTGGGGTCATGGTTCATAACATGGTAGATCAGCTACTGTGAGTTGCTGACCGGCCTTCACTATGTGGCAAGGAACACTGACTCAAGTGTATGATTGGCCTATACTGGTCTACTGAGAAAGTCTGACCTGCCAGACTCTATACCTACGCAGCAAATCCAGGTAGTGCTGTTTTGAAGCTATGTCATGGTGACACATTTTAACTGTATTTTCATGCACAACCATGCTCCACAATCTGAAATAAACAATATAACTCAGCTTCTGACATAGCAATGATGCACTGTTTTACAAATACAATATTTGATACTTTTGTTTATAAAAGATAACATATTCATAAATTTTTAAACAGAGAAAAAATCACTTCTGTTTAATGTGGTGCCCCTTAAAACCAGGTGCCCTAGCCAACCTCCTTGTTCACCTATATGGTCAGGACGGTCCTGACCCCAAATAACCAAATTATCATTTGACTTTTTCAGAGTCAGAGTGGCTGTGAGTGTGCCATAAAACAGATTCAGCCAAATGGTTTGCATGGATGTGGGTCAAACTTTAAGAGTCCTTTCTGCATGATTAGAATGTATTTTTATGAGAAAGGGGTCTGTAAATTTACAGCATATAGTCAAAAGGGGGGTGAGGTAATATCTTTTATTGGACCAATTTCTGTTGGTGAAAGAGACAAGCTTCCCAGCTTCTTCAGGTGTGGGTTCTGTAAGCTCCAAAGCTTATCTCTTTCACCAACAAAAACTGTGCTACAATCTCACCTACCTTGTTTCTTCAATATCCTGGGATCCATATGGCTATAACCACAGTCCAATATTTCATTCATGTCAGTACTCCTGTTGCACTTATAAGGTGAGCAGGCTTTGATGTGGTATGAGAAAGAGAAATCTTTTGTTCTTTTGTTCTTGCGATTAAAAGCAGTGGCAATGGAGAAGGATCCATGAAAGACCCCAGAGAATGCTTATCTCCTGCATACTGTATGGACATACTACTGTACCACACTCACTTTTCTTCCAAATGTCTGAGAAATATGTGCTTGTAGTGTTTTCTTTTTTCAAAATATGTGACTTTGCAATAGCCACTGCAGTTTCTGGTGTAGCCATATGGGAAGAAGAGATATGCCAGTGAGTAGAGGATTAATTTCAGTTGCTACCTTTGGCTAACTCGGTGTGTTAGGCGGGTAAGAGTGATTTGTTGCTTGATTATATGTAGTCTCATGAATGGGATGGGATTTTATTTCGACATGAGGGAATAAAGGATTTTTTTTTTTCTGTTTAGGGACCAGCTGAAAAATCTGGAAGGAAATTGTCAATTTGTTTTGAACTGAAACTGAATTTCATTAGTTCTCAGTGAAACAAAAAACTGGGGAAAATCCGTTTGTGTTTGATGTTTTGGGTTGTTTCTGAGGTGTGTTTAACCCTTTTCTTGGTTCTTTATATTTAGCTATGTTTCTAAATCAGGGCCCATTTCCATGTATAGGTTTTCTGGACCAGAAATATTGGGGCAGGCTTTCCCATTACCCCAGGAATGTGCTTGGCCCACACACCAGCAAAATTATAAAGGGGCCTTTCCCCTTTTGCAAGGCTGAGGAGCTGTCACCGGAGGAAGTAATGTATCCCTGCTTACAATGCCCCAGTTAAAGTCCATCCTGAGCACTGTTCCTCTTCGGATCCCCTCTGCCACTTGCTCCTTTCATTAGCTTGTGAGTCTCCAGCCGGCTGGCAGCTGCAGGGCGAGTGACAGTTGGGGTCTCCCTTCGGGGGACCCCCCAGGAGCGGGAGGCAGGGCGGGATGATGGATGGCTGGGGGTGGGGAGTGGATGGCTGCTGCTGCTGCCGAATCCCCCGGGAGGAGAGGTGGGGAGGGCGAGTGACAGTCCCACAGCCAGCGCCTCAGCCCGCCCGCTCACAAGGTGCCAGCGCCGGAGCCGAGAGCAGCCAGAGCCCGGGTCGCCCCTCCTGCCGCCTCCGACATGCCCAACTTCGCCGGCACCTGGAAAATGAAGAGCAGCGAGAACTTTGACGAGCTGCTGCGAGCGCTGGGTAAGGAGCGGGCTGCGGCGGGTCCCTCGGCAGCCGGGGCTCTGCGCTGGCGGTGCGGGGCCAGGTGCCCGCTGCCTTCTCCCCGCAGCACCAGAC